TAATGATTTGGGGGAGGGATAAATTCTATAATGTCTGTATTCTTTATGGTGTGTAGCCATTAAAGTCTCTGGTTTGCTTAGTTTTTGTATATGTGTGGGGATACCTTCAACACTCATTCTGAGAGCTGACATCTGTCTTACCATCCTGTTTGCAGAACTTGACAATAAGCCAGAGGTGATGGCTTAAGGCCTTCTCAGATTTTTCTTCAGCATGTGCACAGTGCTACACACAGTCATGGCTTTCTGGTTTCCCAGGAATATATTATGGACATTTCATGCCTAAGCTTTTCATTTTAAGGTTTTGGTTAATTTTTTGTTTGCTTGAACTGCTATCTATTGCCTCAGGCAGCAATGATATTAAACAGCTGACTCTAAAAATTTTTAGTAAATTCCCCTGGAGTAAAGACTTTTTGCACTCTCAGTCAGGTCAAATAAAAACATCCTTGCAAGTGGGGTCTTCTAAGAACTACCAGACACTGTCCCCCACCCCACCCAATGAAAATATTTTGGGAAAGAGGTTTTGAAAAAGTTCCTTCCTGTTTTGACTCCTTTGGTGGCTGCCAGGCTGCTGGTTTTCATCATGATTTTGAATTGTTTGTTTTCAAGGATATTAAGAAGCTAAAGAGAGGCAGATGGGAATGCTGCAAGTTACAGTGCTCTGAAGTTCACTGTTCTTACCAACAGTTATCCATTTTTTTCTTGACTAAATTCTTCTTGGGTTGCCAGGCACAGTGGCATGCACCTGTAATTCCAGCTACTCAGTTTTTTTGGTGGGATGGTACCGGGGATTGAACTCAGGGGCATTCGACCATGGAGCCACATCCTCAGTTCTATTTTGTATTTTATTTAGAGACAGGATCTCCTTGAGTTGCTTAGCGCTTTGCTTTTGCTAAGGCTGGCTTTGAACTTGTGAATCCTCCTGTCACACCCTCCTGAGCCTCTGGGATTACAGGCATGTGCCACTGTGCTCAGCAACAAATCAGCTTTTAATCCCAACTATTTTACCTTCTTCTAATTTCCTTAGTTGCTTGAATTAATTTAGACACCTATTTTTAAAATAAAAGCCTAATTTAATTAGTGGCTCAGAAGAGTAAAGAACAAAAGTGTATTAATTGAAAGTTCAAGATTAAAATCTTGAGGTTTCATTATTAGGAACTATGTATATAAGGATAAAAATATCTTCTAATCAGAAGTAATATTCTAACATAAGTTTATCCAGCTTTCATTTAATAGAAACTTCTTCATCTCATATTTACAAGTATCAAATTCACTTTTTCATACATGTGAAAGAGAAATTCTAAATTATTTAGCAATAATATGCCTTATTAGGAATTTAATAAAAGCTATAGCTTTTCTCTAAGAAAATGAGCATATATATACATAAATCTGTTTATAATTTCCAGAGATTATTGGATACCGTGTAGCCTACAAGTTTAAAAAAATTATTGAACATAAAAATTGTGATTTTGATGGCAAAATACAGAACACTACCTCATTTTCAGTAGGGCAATGATAATTTAACATTAAAACATGCATTGGTGATGTACAACTAATAAACTTTTTATTTCAAAAGTTTATTTGTAAATTATTTACTTAAAATTTATTATATATTTTTTTCTAATAAAAACATAAGCAATGGTTAGAGACTATTAAAATTTAAGTCTCTTAAGTATAGGTACTCATTTTGTCTTTGTATTACAATATCTACCCAATTAAATAGCATATAATAGATTCCCTGGTAGCCCTTTATGAAACTTATTTCATTTATAAAAATGCACTAGGAAATAGAAATGCACTAGGAAAATAGGAAAAATATTGAGGCAATGACAGAGATCAAACAAACAACAAACCCAAAAATAAAATAATAAAATGAGGTAAAAAAGGAAAGATAAAATAGATTTTTAAGTTATCTGTTGCCTGAGAGACTGGTTTAATTATAACACATATATTTGAACTTATGGATTTCTTTTTATTGTGTTAAATTTTACTTCAAAACTAGTTTCTTCTTTTTTTTTTTAAAGAGAGAGTGAGAGGAGAGAGAGAGAGAGAATTTTTAATATTTATTTTTTAGTTCTTGGCGGACACAACATCTTTGTTGGTATGTGGTGCTGAGGATCGAACCCGGGCCGCACGCATGCCAGGCGAGCGCGCTACCGCTTGAGCCACATCCCCAGCCCCTAGTTTCTTCTTAATACAGGACATCTTTCTACACTCTGCCATGGATGAGGTCATTTTTTGACCCTAACAATTTTTAAATGGACCAGAAGAACAGAGGGGATAAAATGTTTTGCCTGCAGTGACTAGAAAAAAGTTGAAAGAAGTTGTTTGGGAAGTAATGAGGGGGGCACTATTCATAGAGGTTTTATGTAATAAAATAATTTACTATTTGTTGCATATATTATACATCTTATATAATAAAATATATCTAAGTCAGAATAAAGGTAAGGAAGCTAGTGTGAACATAAGCAACAGAGGGAATGTGGATTCCATTGCAAAACAAACAAACAAAAAACAGGTGGAGGTTGTAAAGATAAAATTCTGCTTCAGTTTTTTGGTTACCTTATAAAGAATTATTATGCTAAAGATGGGGAAAACTATAGTTTGATGCTATAAATATAAAGGGACAATTGTGATATTTTCACTAGAATTGGCTATTAACTACTTTTGAGTATAAATTATTTTATAAATTTATCAAAATTTAAAATATACTTTTAAGCAGGCTTTACAGCTAAAATTATATTTCTTTTATTAAAATTTTTTTTTGTAGTTGTAGAAGGACAATATACCTTTTTTATGTGGTGCTGAAGATCATACCCAGTGCTTCACACATGCGGGGCAGGCACTCTGCCACCGAGCTATACCCCCAGCCCAAAATTATATTTCTTTAAAGTTTTTTGGTTTTTGTTTTTGCAGTACTAGCAATAGAACCCAGGGCCACTGAACTCTGACCAAAATCAGCTAAAATCATGAGAAATATGAAAAATTCAACTGCATTATCATTGAACATGTATAAACTGTGGCCCTACCATACAGGCTAGGTATAAAAAGAGTATAGGATTCCCTTCAGTTAAAAAAAGCTTACAAGTATAAAAGATCAATGGAATGACCTGACCTTGTCTTCAGGACAGGACTTCAAGACATTTACATTGCCAAAGCAAAAAAGGAGTGAGCTATGACTTCAGTGATAGGCTCCCATATGTTATACCATGTAAAGACAGAATTTAAACCCAGGGATATGGATTATATGCCAAGCCATCTCCCTTTTTGAAGTTTGGAGTTTGACTCTCTAAGTGACAATAAACAGAGATTCAGTCTCACACTCTGGCTGAAGATATCTGTCAATAAGCCACCTCAACTAATTGAGAAAGTAATTAATTGTCTCCCGAAAAACTGTCTTTAGCTTACAGATGTAAATTAGGTATAATGATGATCTAAATCAAATCTCTGGTAATAATAATTTTGGGTTAACATAAACAATGAATATTTATTTTAATTATTTGTAACAATGCTTAAGAGAATTTAGCTTATATCACTCCTATTAAATATAGGTAATTAATTCATAAACACTTGTGATTTTTTAAAATCAGAATCTTACTAATTTTATAAACAGTATCAGAATATTTGTTTAGTGATTTGAAGATATCTGTTTGAAGATATCTGTTTAGTGAATTAGGTTTATACAAAATGACTTCAATACTTCAGGTTTTCTTTATAAGCAACTGAGGTATGGAAAAATCAAGCAAAAAAACATTAAACTCAAAGGCAGTTAAAACTTTTAAGAAAACAGTGCTTTCCTAGCATGCCTAAGGCCCTGGGTTTCATCTCTAGTACTGCAAAAAAAAAAGTTTAAAGAAATATAATTTTAGTTGTAAAGGCTGTTTAGAAGTAAATTTTAAATTTTGCTAAATTTATAAAATAATTTATATTCAAAAGTAGTTAATAGCCATTTCTAGACTATGAAATCATAAAATATAAAATCTCAAAATTTTACATAATATTTTTAAAGATTAAAGCACTAAAAACAAATCAGTCATTGTGAGTAGCAACTTCTAAGAATCTTTTATAAACAGTATATGAATAGTAACAATTTAGAGGGTCACAAAAGTATTTAAGTAATGATCCTGAAAACAGACTATATGAAGAGATTAACTTGAAGCGCACAGGATGTGAGCTTCTACTTCCCAGAGTAAGATAACTAAATACAACACAAACAAAATAGGCTACTCTTCCTTAGATTTTCCAATCTAGATTCTCAACTGCACTGCTCTTGGGATTAAAGAGGAAAGGATTAAAGGATTTGTCTTTTAATGGACTGTGGAAAAGCTTAAAGTTAAAAGACAGGCTAATTAGAAAAGTTAATAATCAATTATGAAATATGAATTGTGGTTACATGAAATTACAGCTTAAAAATTTAAAAAATAAGCAACTTTAAAATGCTTAGATGTTGCTTAAAACATTTATACATGTAAATATGATTATCCATGTTAGTGTCTTAAGACAAAATTTTAAGTCCTATAAGTCCTAACCATACTGATCTTTCAAATTTCACACATTATACTCTATGAGACTTAAGGCAAAAGTGATATATAGTTCTACTAGATCATAAGCATAAAAGTTAGTACTTTACACACTTGGGAAGGCCTAATCTTAGCTTCTTCTGAATCTGCAATGGTCATCCTTGCAATTATTTCCCCTTCCTTCCCATCCCATGTCTTATACCATAGGATTCAAATTACAAATGAGACTCTAAAAACATATATGCCCAGATTTCACTTTCTTCCTATTAAAAAAATATAGGTCTGTTAACTATAATGGATGACTTTATAACTATAAATTACTCTTCAAACACTATTTTTAAAATTCTTAAGAAACTAGAATGGCATTAACTGTCTCCACCCACTTCCCACTACATCATACCCTTTACTTTCCCACCCCCAGATGAAGGTTAGGTTGATAAATGGATTTGGAAATGGAATAAAGCCAGACATCAAATAACTTACTTGAAATCCATCTCTTACCTTCTGTACTTAACCCTGGACTTGATGTGAACTTGGCTACATCAACAATTTTTACAGCAAATTGTTGCCCAGTTTCTCTGTTGATACATCGTCGTACAACACTGAAGGGACCCCTAAAAAACAAAAAGTCAATTTTAATTTATTGACTCTCTTATGTTCCTCTTTCATAGCAGCATCTTTTTATGTTTCATTAGACATACTACATAATCACCAAGTACTGTGGACATACTACATAATCACCAAGCCATTCTATATCAAACTCCTGATGGAATATAGTTTTCAAAGTAAAAATTTAAGTAATATAATTTGAGCATATTTTTCTGTAATTCATGAGGCAATTCATCATTTTAAAATATTATTAAACCAGAGAAAATAGAAGCTAAGTTATTTGCTATTTGAAATCATTTTTTGAAAATTCTACATAATAATTTTTTCTTGTGTTCAAGGCAAATAGTTGTCATAATATTTTATATAGATTATCAATACCTTAAACAAAATAAGTGAGGTCTATAGCAATGGTATTATGAAACTGAAGATCATTCTTGACACCTTCCTATCATCTTACCCACTACTTATCTTATACACACTAACAAGTCCTACTGAATTTACATCAAATATCTCTCAAACCTGTCCACTTCTCTCCATGTTCATATCCTAGTTTGAGCTACTACTATCTTTTGCCATGACAACAGAATTGTTTCTGCCATTCATTCTTACAGTACTATTTTGCTTATTTACTTATTGAAGTACCAGGGATTGAACTCAGGGGCACTCAACCACCGAGTCACATCCCCAGCCCTATTTTGTATTTTATTTAGAGACAGGGTCTCATTGAGTTGCTAACACCTCACCATTGCTGAGGCTGGCTTTGAACTCACAATCCTCCTGTGTCAGCCTCCAGAGCTGAGGGGATTACAGGCAGGTGCCACTGCACTGAGCATTTGTGCAGTACTATTTTAAAAATGAAAATCTCATATTATGTCTCTGCTTAAAATCTGAGAGGAGGGGGAGGGAGATGGAGATATGGGGGGAGGAGGAGGAAGTACGTACAATACGCATACCTAATCAAGAAACAAAATACATAAGTAATTTCAAAATAAAATAAGAAAAGGAATACACTCCAATAAAATCTGGCCAAAAGGCACTTCATGCATGATTTGATCTCCAGCAATCTCTCCAGTCTCACTTGAATTCACAGAGACATCCTTCATCCTCCTTAAATTTCAAATTAGAATTGTTTTAAATTGGAAAGGAAATAAGGAAAGGAAATAATTTCTACCAGCCAAGTTACTGGTCCAGTTGTTTGCTTACCCAGTCCTTCCTCAATCTAAAGTAGTGATTCTTTTTTTAATGTTTATTCTTAAGTCTTAGGTGGACACAATATATTTATTTTACATTTATGTGGTGCTGAGAATTGAACCCAGTGCCTCATACATGCTAGGTGAACGCTCTACCACTGAGCCACAACCCCAGCCCCAGTGATTCGTTTTTGTTTGTTTTAATTAGTTACACATGATAATACAATGACCTAGACAATAGTGGTCACAGAGTTTCATCAGGTGAGATGATTTTTTAAATGCCAATGTTCAGACTGGGGATATAGTTCAGTGGTACAGCATTTGTCTAGCATGCATGAGGTCCTGGGTTCTATCCCTAGCTTTATATAAAAAAAAAGCCAATGTTCACACTCAGGCAACACACACACACACATGCACACACATGCATGCACACAAACATTGTTCTTTGAGATTAAGTCATCAAATAAATATCAGAACTCAACATAATGCAAAGATTTGTGTGTGTTTGAATTGACTATGAACACAACACAATAGCAATGTACTGCAGTAGTTTATTTGAAATATGGTATAATTCACTAAATACAAAAACATACACCTGTACCTATGTATATTTTTCACCTCTTTGGGAGAGGGAACAGACAAAAGAATGCCTTCACACAAGTAGAAAAAGTATAGCTGGATGTATGTGCTCAATAGCATTTATGAAAAAAATTCTTCATTTACACAAGGGTATTTGTGATACTGCTTGCCTTAGTTTGTCTTTTTTTTTCAATTAGAGGACAAACAAATGAATGTAATTTAACCTAGAATTAAACATTTCTCCTAAATCACATGAACATCATCATGAGGACATCAACTACACCACAGCTTCAAATCTCTCTTCAAATGACCTAACAAAGCTAACCTGGAAAGAAAAGAAAGGGAAATAATGTATCTTTCAAAACTTAATGAAAACAAGACCTTTTCAATAATCACTCAAAAACCCTTCGAAGATTTTCTTCTGTAACAATATAACAAAGTGAGGCAGGACTCCCACAACTGTTTTCATTCTCCACCTGGATATCTTACTTTGAGGATTCATTCTAACCATAGCAAGCAATTTCAGGAAATGCTTAACATAATTGGTTTTTGTCCACACACAAACCCTTGGGACTCTATTTATATTTACATTTGTATAGTGTGCTTCAATTCACTAAATTATTTTGGAAACTTTCCAAGATCTGTATATGGGATTGTTCATGGAGATATGTATGTGGGATTGTTCATGGTCCATCGAATCAATTCTTCACTTTTTCCTGTTTGAACAAAGCTGAGGAAGAAGGCACAGCTTCTCTCTCCACCCTTTTACTAGGAGTAAAATTAAGAAAGCCAGGGAGAGAGGAAAGGGAATATTAAAACAACAAAACACAGAAACTTTTTAAAATCCATTAATTTATGCCCCCAATTCTTTAATTTTATGAGACAAAGAAAATAAGTGTTATCTATGAATTATTCACGACTCGAAGACAAGTCACAGTAAAGCATTTTAAGGGTCAGTTGTTCAATGACATCTGGGGGCTACAAAAGTGAACCAAATTTAATGTCCTAAAATGATATTAAGACTTACTTTAAGTTTTTTTGTTGTTGTTGTTATTTTTTTTTTTTTTTTGTGTGTGTGTGTGTGTGTGTGTGTGATTTCATCTCCAACTTAAAACTCAGCAGAAACTAATTTTTTTTGTTGTTTTTTGTGGTACAGGGATTGAACCCAGGGGTACTTTACCACTGAGCTGGGTCCCCTGTCCTTTTAAAATTTTGAGACAGGGTCTTGCTAACTTGCTTAGGACCTTGCTAAGGTGCTGAGGCTGGCCTTAGAACATATGATCCTCCTGCCTCAGCCTCCTGAGTTGCTGGGATTTTACAGGCATGCATCACCATGCTTGGCATTAACTGATAAAAAATTTAAAATTTAGCTTGGTCTCCCATAAATGGAAAAGGGTGATAAAGTGTGTGTAACTCATATACTATATTATACTATTAATTATATTTGGATGTCAATTTACAAAAGAGAAAAATCCAGGGGCTTAGGTTTCAGTCTGGCCTGTACCCTTTTTGATGCTTGAAATTTCACCCCCCCACATTTTAATTCTAGGGCTGGGAATGTGGCTCAAGCGGTAGCACGCTTGCCTGGCAGGCCTGTGGCCCGGGTTCGATCCTCAGCACCACATACAAAGATGTTGTGTCCGCCGAAAACTAAAATAAATAAATAAATATTTTTTTAAAAAATTTTAATTCTATGGTATAATAAATCCTTGGATATATGTGTGGAGGAAAATATTGATATAGTTTGTAAGCCATCATCATAAATTATGATATTTTTCATATTTCCACTAATTATGAACCTAGGTTATTGAACAAGTGCAATGATAATTGATGGTATTTCAGATTATATATATATATATATACACACATTTTATTTTATTATATCTACTTTATTATATATATTATATATACACATATATTTTATATATGTATATATTTTATATGTATGTATATATATAAAATCTGAAATAAAAAAGATACATATATTTTACATACACATACACACACACATACACATATATATTTTTATTCACCCCCTTACAAATACTGACCATTAACTGGGATTATAACCTAAGGTTCTACTTTAGGCAGATGGCTGCTTACAGAAATCTATATTTTTAGATAAAAGGCCAATTAAACCAGAATATAAGTGAGTATTGCTGTAAAATTTTCTAAAGTTTTGAAAAGAATACAACTCTGTCCCTATGCAGACACAGAACTATCTCCTTTAGTTTTCATTTGTGAGAAGAAAGGTTAAGTCTAGGTAATAATTCTGATATTGAAGGTAAATATATCAAAATAAAGACTAGAATTAAATGAAATTATGTTAGAAATGGTGCTAGTGTGTTAGTTTCTGGAATAATAGGCTAGACTGAGCACAGTGCATCTAATTTATTTCCCTCTCCAAGCCCCACTAAAACATCAAAGAGTTTTTAAAAAGGACTGGGAGAATAAGAGAGGAGACAATTGTAATAATCAGATTTGGGGATCAAGGCAGAAGATGAAGGGATGGTAACTGACTCAGCTGACTTGGGAAGGTTGAACTACAAATAGAAAATAAGGAAACCAATTCGGAACCAAACCCATTTATAATACAGAATCTTCAAGAATCTCACAAATTAATAGCACCAGATAATTTTAGAGCTAGAAGTAGAGAGACAGTGAGATTAAAGTTATAAGATTTGAATGAAATTTGTTAGGGATTGTTAGATCTCTTTCAACTTTATATCATGGATAACTGCCCTTCTGTCATCCTAACAGATTTACTCTCTAGCGAGTATAAAACAGGGTCACAGGGCCAGAAAGATAAGGCCAATGAGAAAGGGGGTACTATACAGAAAGCAAGGGGAGGATGTGATCACATATACAAACAGTCCCAGTTCCTTTTCACTTAACAGAGGGAATGCTGGAAGCCAGATCTTTACCCTTAAGATAGGAGATGATAAGACTTTTTCTACTGAATATCTGAACAGCCAAGTGGGAAAGATGTAAAGATAATGACATAAAGTTCCCCAAATTGCTCAACTAGATCACCTGCCAGTGAAACCATACAAGTTGCACTTGCACTGCAGAGTCCTCAATCAGCTTTCAGGTCCTCTGTGGCATGGTTTCCAACTTCAGCACTATTATCATTTTGAGCTAGATATTTTTTTCTTGCATGGAAATATCATTTGCGTTATACCCACTGGAGGTCCCCTCCCTCTAGCTAGGATAATCAAAAATGCCCTAGATGTTGC